ACGGAGTTAACTGTTGGCCACGTGGATGCCACGTAGATGCATAGGTGGATGCCACGTGGATGCCAAATTTCATAAAAACACCTGGAACTAGAACGGCCCGTTCTGAAACCTGAACGGGCCGTTCTGGTTTCAGAATGGGCCGTTCTGGTTCCAAAAAGCCCAATACAAACGGTTAATGATTATAGTTAACGGTTGTGAATCGTGGAAGGAAAAAGTCCCAAGGTACAAAGTATTTCAAACACTGGATTTGGTAATATTGTCAATGGAAATTGATAACTTCAATTGCTAAATAGTTGGGCTATACAGTGTATCATTAAGGACAATGCAGTATATCATTAAAGACAATGGTAGCAGATTTTATTTCATTGTTAGTCAAACTGGAGTAAACCACTTATTACCAAATTGACACTATACAATAAAGGATGAAATGACATAATATTTTTTCTTGAAGTCATTAACGATGTACCCCAACAACAACAACCTGTTCTTGAGGAGGTACAACCTGAAGTAAAGGAAGAGGATACACAGGACTAATATTTCACCACACAACTACATGCAGGGACGAATCTAAGTTAATCATAGTGGGGGCACTTGCCCCACTAAAATTTTTTCATTCTTTTTTTTATATATAAAATATTAATAATTTTATAAAATATATATATTATTAATTATATTTTAATTATCTTGTTATATCTAATATATTAAATACATTAATATTTTTATATTTTATTTTATTGTTTAATTGTTTTTATTTTGTGGTAAAATTATATTCATTGTTAATGAAGAAAAAATTTACTTATTTCAAGAGTAAGTCTTGATAGATTTATTCTACTTAATAATTAATGTTCTATATCAAATTTTTAAAAATTTAATTGTTAAATTAAAAAGCTTTTCATGTATAGATCAAATTTATAAAATTTATAAAAAATTTAAAAATCATATGATATTTCATTAAATTAATTCAAAATAAGTAAATCATATAAATTTTTTTTTTAAATTTAATTGTGAAAGTTAGCGTTCTGGAACGGGCCGTTCTGAAACTAGAACAACTCGTTATGAAACCAGAACGTCCCTTTCTGGTTTCAGAACGGACCGTTATGTTGTACTCGTGGTGTGTTAATTTTGCATCTGGAACGACCTGTTTCAGATGCAAAATTAATACACCAAGAGTGCACTTAGAACGGGTCGTTCTGGTTCCAGGTGTATTCAAGAAATTTGGCATCCACGTGGCATCTACGTGGCATCCACCTATGCATCTACATGACATCCACATGGCCAACAATTAACTCCGTTTAAATAATTTGGACGGAAGTTCGACATTGCAACCAATTAATTTATTAGGGACTAAATTGGGACCAAAAATAAAAGTGAGACTATATTGAAACAAACAATTATTATACGGGACCAAAATAGGTTTTTAGCCTTATTATTATATGACTGAGTTGGATTGGGTCACGAGTTTAAAAACACAAAATTTGTTATCCGACCCATACAATGTCAAGTTTTGATTGGGTTGGATTGAGTCTAATTTAAACACACACAAAAATTGATCCAAATTCATTAGATTGGTTTGAATCAATTCGAGATTGCAAGTTACTTATACCTACTTATATTACTACTGGTAGTAGGGCACTATCCTATCAATTAAGACCTTCACCACTCAACGCCTTACCTACAAGACTACCTCTATAGTTAGCTCTTTAGCATACTTGACTATAACTTCCCATGCAAAGAACAATCATAACCCACTTTTTGTATTTACATTACTTGACTTAGTACTCATTCGTTTTCAAATGAACCTTCCCACGAAGATTTCTATGGTTTCAACATCTCTAAAACCAGTCCATTTCACTATCTTTATCTTTCACTATAAAGATACAACCTTTATTTTGTTCACAGACTAATACTTTCTTCGATCATTTTTATAAGAAATAAATTACAAAGTAAAATATATTATCACTTGTTTCTTATAAAAAGAACCAAAGGCAATACCTTATAGTTTCATCCTACTCCTTAGACATTTGAATAGAGTCTCGGGATAATATTATAGAAAGTCAAACATGTTTGAATTGAGTTGACCTGTTTAACTCACCAACAGTTAAAAAGATAGTGTTATATCTCAATAATTTAAAATAAAAATATCATTTGAATAATATTTTATTTCATATTTGCATTTGAATTCATAAATGACTTGATAGAAAAAAAAAATGTATCTCTTTTCAATAGAAAAAAAAGGAAAATTATTTTATTTATTTTTAACATTTTTGTTTTAAAAAAATTGATGAGTTGACCCACCTAACACCAATCAGTGATGGATTGAGTTAAGTTAAAGTTTTCTTGACTCACCAAAAATTAAATTGAGTTTATTGACTAATTTAAAGTTTCAATTTATGAAGCAACCCAACTCACATGAGATGACTCACTTTAACACCTATGTTGTTAGCACAAGAGTTTGCAAAGAAACAAAACATAAATTAGAGTATTAAGAAACATATAGTCTCAAAATGTAATGATTTATAAGAAAGAGAATTGAGCTCACCAAAATAAAAAGCTCAAACTCTTAATTTCATTAAAATATATTAGCTTATTATTTTAAATTGTCTTTTCAATCCATATTATTTCAAAATACTTATTTTTTAATTGAAAGCCTCAAAATAAAATATTTAATAAATATTTGATATAAAGATATTTTTTAAAAAAAATGTTTTGTTAAAAAAAACCCACCACACCTCAATGAACTATTCAATCCACTAAAATATAGTTGAGTTTGGTTGATTGAATTTACTTGTCAATTTCAACCTGCTTATACCCTAACACATAAGTGCTCATCATGAAAAAGAAATTTATTTTCATTCTAATACAATGTATTATTAGAAGGAAGTTTTTTTCACTTCAAAAAAATTTAAAATTTTTCAAATAAATGAATTATTTTATTTAAATTTTCCATCCAAACACATTATTAGGAATGCCATATTTAGGAGAGAAAGAATTCTTCGTCAATTTTGGTCTTTAATTATTTTTTTTTTTTGGTTTGAGTCTTTTTTATTTCAAAATACTTATTATTTAATTGATAATGGTTATTCTTGATTCAAGTAGAATTGTTTCCACGTTTTAAGTAATATTATTTTCTACTTTTCTCTCACCAACATGGTCACAAAATGATGTGAAAAGTACAATTAGAAATTAAGAAAAAAGTGAAAGAAAAGTTATATATTTAGCTTTAATCACAAACGGATAATCTAGATCCAATTAGGCATAAAATTTTAACTATTGCCCCATTCTTATTTTTTATCTATACCATACGTATTATTCATCAGACATACTCCCACTCGAGTTGGTATACAACTACAAAATATTTAATGTAACCGTATATTATTAAGTGTTAAGTCACACATTTTGAATGTGATTTTTATGTTTAAACTAAAGTTACTTGTTGTAACTTTCACATCTTGGTCAAACGTAATATTTAATGTGTGTTATCGTTAACACACTTTTTCTGTTCAACTTAATTTATGAGTTTTGTAATTGAATTCAATAATTATTTATAACTTCTCAACGTGAAAAGAAACACGCTGTTAGATATGTTTAGACGTGTTTCCAAGTATATACTTTACATTTTTTTTTTAATTTGAAACTGATTTAATTCTAACACTTAGTATTGTCAAATTTTTTCTCTCTTCAATATATAGATATATATCCATCACTATTCATCTAAATCGCTAATAAGAATTATCTAAATCAAGTCAATTATATTTTTATTGATTGAGTTGAGTTATTTTTTAGTAATAAATTATAATTAAGTTGGATAACAGGTTATTATCTGGTAAATTTAAATCAATTCAACTTTAACAAAGTATTAAATTAAATTAAAAATATTATATATAATAAAATATATAATATATTTTAAATGAACTTATATTAAGAAATTATTGTAATTAAAGAAGATAAAAAACATGAAGAACAATTTAATTTCACTTCTTATGTGATTTATAATTAATTTAAATATGTTTTAAATTTCTCAAATTTAAAACTAGTCTTTTAGTCCTTGTAATTTCAAAAAGTCTTGTTTTGATTCTTATACTCAAATTTTGTTAGAAAATTTGTTAAATACTTTCACATAAAAATTTCTTAATAAGTGAAAATATTACATTAAACTTAACTGATGATGCATAATTGTCTCAATATGTCATTTTTAGATATATTATTAGTGTTTTGAGGAACTAATACAAGATTTTCAAAAATTATAAAACTAAAAATAATAATTTTAAATTTGAAGGATCAAAAATAAATTTATTATAAATTTAAAAAATTAAAATATATTAAAATTATAGAAATTAAAAATAATAATTTTAAATTTGAAGGATCAAAAATAAATTTATTATAAATTTAAAAAATTAAAATATATTAAAATTATAGAAATTAAAAATAATAATTTTAAATTTGAAGGATCAAAAATAAATTTATTATAAATTTAAAAAATTAAAATATATTAAAATTATAGAAATTAAAAATAATAATTTTAAATTTGAAGGATCAAAAATAAATTTATTATAAATTTAAAAAATTAAAATATATTAAAATTATAGAAATTAAAAATAATAATTTTAAATTTGAAGGATCAAAAATAAATTTATTATAAATTTAAAAAATTAAAATATATTAAAATTATAGAAATTAAAAATAATAATTTTGAATTTGAAAAACTCAAAATAAATTTATCTTAAATTTAAAGAATTAAAAACATATTTAAGTCTTTAAAATTTGTTATAGTAGTAACATAATATTTATTATTATAATTTCTCATTTATAATTATTATAATTTTGTTTGTAATTTAAATATGTATAAAAATTTCAATAAAGTATTTTTTAAATTATTATTTATTTATTTTATTTTATAAAATATATTTATTAAGTACAGAATCCAATAATCCGACTAAATTATAATCGGATTAAGTTGTATAACTCAAAAAAAAAAAAGATTACAAATCCAATCTAGGTCATTCAATCTTGATCCCCCAACCCATTTACGCCCGATGATTGTCATTGACTCACACTGTCGCGACTATGCGCAGAAGCTTGGCGCCAATTCTCCACAAACCCAAACTCTCTCTTCACTTCTCCACCACTACCATCCTCTCGCATAACCAAAATGCATACTCACAACAACACAGCATCGCCACCGTCGTCCACTCCCTCTGCGACGCTCGCCGTTTCTCCGAAGCCCACCACCGCTTCTCCCTCTCCCTCGCCTCCGCCTCCCTCCCCGACGAGCGCACCTGCAACGTCCTCCTCGCTCGCCTCCTCGCTTCTCAAACCCCTCAAGCCACGTGGCGCCTCCTTCAATCTCTCATCGCTTCCAAGCCCGGTTTCGTTCCTTCTTTGCTCAACTACAACCACTTGATGGACCAGTTTTGCCGTGCCCATAGCCCCCGCCACGCTCACAGGCTCTTTTTCGACATGAAGAATCGTGGGCATTGCCCAAATGTTGTTTCTTTCACCACTTTGATTAGTGGGTACTGTCTGGTTGGTGCAATGAGAGATGCACGTAAGGTGTTCGACGAAATGCTTGAGAGTGGTGTGGCGCCGAATTCGGTGACTTACAGTGTCTTGACTCGCGGGGTTCTTCTGGAGAGGGATTTGGAAGGCGGGAGGGAGTTGATGTGTAAGGTTTGGGAGAGGATGAGTGTGGAAGTGGACGAGTGTGTGAAGACTGCGGCTTTTGCGAATTTGGTTGATTCTTTGTGTAGGGGAGGGTTTTTCAATGAAGTGTTTAGGATTGCCGAGGAGTTGCCGTTTGGGAGTGGTTTTCCTGAGGAGGTTGCTTATGGCCTGATGGTGGATTCGCTCTGCAGAGTTGGGAGGTATAATGGGGCAGCTAGGATTATTTATGTAATGAGGAAAAGAGGGTTTGTTCCGAGTGAGGTGTCGTATAATCATATAATTCATGGGCTTAGCAAGGATGGTGATTGTATGAGGGCTTATCAGTTGTTAGAGGAAGGAGCTGAATTTGGGTTCATGCTATCTGAGCATACTTATAAGGTGCTATTGGAGGCTCTTTGTCAAGTGTTGGATGTGGACAAGGCGAGGGAAGTTTTGAAACTCATGCTGCGGAAGGAAGGTGTTGACAAGACTAGGATTTACAACATTTACTTGAGAGCTCTTTGTCTTATGAACAATCCGACCGAGCTTTTGAATGTGCTTGTGTTTATGTTAGAGAGCCAGTGTCCGGCTGACGTGATCACCCTCAACACGGTGATCAACGGTTTTTGCAAGATGGGTAGGATTGATGAAGCTTCAAAGGTGTTGCATGACATGATGGTGGGTAAATTTGCTGCTCCTGATGTTGTGACCTTCACTACCGTGATTTCTGGTCTGTTGGATGCTGAAAGAGTCAATGAAGCCCTTGATTTATTTCATAAGGTGATGCCAGAAAATGGTTTAAGACCTAGTGTTGTGACATATAATGCTCTTCTCCGAGGTTTATTCAAACTGAAGAGACCGCATGATGCATTGAGGGTTTTCAATGACATGATAAGTGATGGCATTACCGCAGATTGTATCACTTATACAGTTGTTGTAGAATGTCTCTATGAATCTGACCAAATAGAAGAGGCAAAGAGTTTTTGGCACGGTGTTATTTGGCCTTCTGGGGTTCATGATAATTTTGTTTATGCAGCAATTCTGAAAGGGCTCTGTCGCTCTGGCAAATTTAGTGAGGCTTGTCATTTCTTGTATGAATTGGTGGATTCTGGGGGCTCTCCAAATATATTTAGTTATAATATTCTGATCAACTGTGCATGCAATCTTGGTTTGAAAATAGAAGCTTACCAAATTGTTAGAGAGATGAAAAAGAATGGGCTGTCACCTGATTCTGTGACATGGAGGATTCTTGACAAGTTACATGGCAAAGTGAGGAAGAACATCCATTCTGAAGATTCAACCATGTCAACAATTTATGAGGGACCTGACATGCAGCAAGTAGGGGTAGAAGCAAATGGGGTTCAGTTTGTAATTTAAAACAGTAACTTAAAAAATGTGGTTTGGTTCAGAGGAGGGTCTAAAGCAACATACAAGGGATTTGAAGTTTTAACAATGAGGAGCATTTAACTAAGACCAATGGTAAAACTTTGGATTTTACCATAAAAACGTGAATCTTGTAATAAGCTTGGCAGCCGCAGGATTAATCCCTGCCTCTTGAAAGAGTTTGCATACATATATATACGCATAAGAGTAACCTAATTACAGCAAAATTACAGCGTAATTACAGTAGCAAGAATCTCTAACAGATTTCCTAAAATTGGCTCCTACTTAAATGACTAGATAGCCTGTGATTGAGTTGAACAAATCAGCGCATAATCTGCTATGCTAAATGTAACGTGATCAAATCAGTTAGGATCTCATATGTTTGCAACATATCTCATTACCCCCCCTCAAGTTGGAGTATGGAGGTTTTGAATACCCAACTTGCTCAACAAAGAGTGAAAATGAGACCGACCAAGAGCTTTAGTGAATATATCGGCTAGTTGGACATGTGTAGAAACGTAAGAAGGTCGAATGATCCCATTCAGAATTGCATTACGGACAAAGTGACAGTCTACCTCGATATGTTTAGTACATTCATGGAAGACAGGATTCTTCGCAATGTGTAGGGCAGCTTGGCTATCACAGTACAACATGATAGGTTGGGAATGGGAAAGTCCAAGACAGTGCAGCAAGCTTTTCACCCATTTGAGTTCACAGGTTGTGGTGGCCATAGAGCGGTATTCAGCTTCAGCAGAGGAGCGGGAGACTGTGTGTTGTTTCTTGGTCTTCCAAGAAATGGGTGAGTTACCCAACAACACAAACCATCCTGTGAGGGATCTCCGGGTCAAGGGACAAGTAGCCCAGTCAGAGTCACACCACCCATAAAGAGTCAAGTCACTATCCTTACGTAACACTATGCCTTGGCCTGGGTTCCCTTTCAAATAACGAACCACCCGAAGTGTAGCATTCCAATGGTCTTGTTGTGGATTTTGCATAAATTGGGACAAAATGTGAACACAATATGATAACTCAGGTCTAGTGAAACAAAGATAGATGAGGCGACCAACAAGACGTCGATATTGCTCAGGATTTGAAAGAGGCTGCCCCGTAGTAAGAGCTAAATGATGATTTTGCTCCAAAGGTGTAGGAGCTGGTTTGGCGCCTAAGAGACCAGCTTCATTGATAATTTCCAAGGCATATTTTCTTTGGCACAAGAAAATCCCTGTAACAGATCTGGCCACCTCGACCCCAAGGAAGTATTTGAGTGGCCCCAAGTCTTTCATATGAAAACAGGAATGCAAATATGTTTTGAACTGACCAATAGCAGCATGGTCATTTCCAGCAACAATAAGGTCGTCCACATAAATCAGGACCACAATGTGAATAACATCTCTATGCAAAACAAACAATGAGTAATCAGATAAGGATTGAGTGAAACCATAAGTCTTAAGTGCATGACACAGCTTGGCAAACCAACATCTAGGAGCTTGCTTGAGTCCGTATAGGGATTTGTTCAGCTTACAAACCATCCCAGGCTGAGAGACAGTGAAACCCGGTGGCAGTTTCATAAAGACCTCTTCTTGTAAATCTCCATGTAAGAAGGCATTGTGAACATCCATTTGATGCAGCTCCCAGTTCTTTGATGCAGCTACAACTAACACTACTCTCACTGTCACCATTTTGGCTACCGGAGCAAAAGTCTCGGAATAATCAATCCCTTCCACCTGATGATTGCCGAGAACAACCAACCGTGCTTTGAACCTTTCCACTGTGCCATCGACTTTCCGCTTAATTTTGTAAACCCACTTGCTCCCAAGAGCCTTTTTTTCTGCAGGCAAAGGCATGATTGTCCATGTTTGATTGGTTTCCAGAGCACGCACTTCAGTGTCTATAGCCTCTCGCCAACGTTGATTTTGCACAGCTTCACCATAGGTCATGGGTTCCTTATCCTATTCTAGAGCTGCAAGGTAGGCACGATGTGCCAAAGAAAAATTATCACAGTTTACATAGTTTGTAATGGAATAAAGGGCACCTGAAGATGAAGACTGTGCAGGCAAACAAACAGATGAACTTAAACTTTGAACAGTGTTAGTGACATAATCACGTAGACGCGAAGATGGCTGTTTATTTCGGTAACCACGTCCCATCGGTTCTGCGTCTTGATCAGCACTGGTTATTGTTGTGCTTTTCGTTGTAGTGGGCTATGGAGTTTCAACATGTACTTCAGAGTCAGTATTTGAACCCCCCCTGTCGATTGTAGTAGAAAGCTCTCGAGGGTTTATTGTGTCAACCTCATCTACTCCAGCTGGAACATTTGTCTCATTGCTGTTGCAGGGTGTTGGTTCTTCCTGCAGGGGCCTACTCATTTGACCAAATGGGTATTCATGTTCAGCAAATATAACATCCCTAGAAACAAAATAATCTTGTGTCTCTAAATCAAACAATTTCCACCCCTTTTTACCGTAAGGGTATCCAACAAAAACACACCTTCTACTTCGACTAGCAAATTTGTCCCCTTTGTTTCTTTGATTATGAGCATAACAAAGGCAACCAAAAATTAGCAAATGCTGTAGTAAAGGAGGTTCCCCATAGAGCAACTCATAAGGAGATTTCCCATTAAGAACTGCAGATGGTGTGCGGTTAATCAAATATCCAGCTGTGAGCACACATTCACCCTAAAAATTTATTGGAAGGTTTGCTTGAAATCGAAGAGCACGAGCAACGTTTAGGATATGTCGATATTTTCGTTCAACTCTCCCATTCTGTTGAGGTGAGCCAACACAGGATGTTTGAAAAATTATTCCATGTTCAAAAAAATAATTTTTCATACATGTGAATTCAGTTCCATTGTCACTCCTAAATATTTTTATATGTTTATCAAATTGTGTCTTGATTAAAGAAAAAAAATTTAGGAGCATTTGAAACACTTCCCTTTTATCAGCCAGCAAATAAATCCACACACTACGGGAGTAATCATCTACAATTGTCATAAAATAGAAGGCACCACAAGAAGATGGACTTTTATACGGACCCCATAAATCACAATGGATTAAGTCAAAAATATTGTTTGCTTTATGTTCACTCAAAGGAAACATATCTCTTGACTGCTTTGCTCGAAAACAAATATCACAATTTTTGTTTAACAAATCTTTGCACTTATTCTCACTGAGTTCCGGAATTAACTTAGAAATCTTGAATGACGGATGTCCCAGCCGCTTGTGCCATAAATCCACATGATTCACGCCATCAGTTTTGAAGGCCTGCACCATATGTACTCCTCGAAAGTAATATAGCCCATCTATTCGTTTACCCGCTCCAATCAGCGTCTTTGAAATGCGGTCCTGCATCACACACAATTTATTAGTAAACTGGACAACATAATTTGAATCATCTAGCAATTGTGATACTGATATCAAACTGCAACGCAGCTTGGACACATAAAGCACATTTTTGAGCTTTAGCCCCCCTTCCAGGATGACCGTTCCTTCCTTAGTGGCATTTGTTTGCTCTCCATTTGGCAATCCTACTGGGCATGCTGTAATATTGTGTACTTCACTCATTTCCTTAAGATTCCCTGTCATATGATTTGAGGCCCCGGTATCAATGATCCATGAGGCTAGGCTATATTTACCTGTCATCTTTTCATCACTATCAGTTTTATTCAGCAAGTCCACCAGCTTTTGCCATTGATCAGCAGTTAATCCAGCAAGACCAGCTTTGTCAGCATCTTTGATGGGTGCAGAACCTATGCCACTCATACCTGCTTGTGCTGCATTTGCTCGCAAGGTTATTCCTTTCCCGCGTCCTCCACCCACACGTGGCTGTGACTTCCCTCTTCCTATGGCTTTCCCTTCATTTTTTGGTTTGTCTCCCCACCAGGATATCCTATCAACTGGAAACAACTTTCTGTGTCATGTCCTTGTTTGTTACAATAAGTGCAGATTTGTGACTTATCTTTTGCATTTGCACGACCTTTTCCTTTAACTTGTGCTGTGAGACCCACAACTTCAGTTCTTTTGTCCTTCATTCTAGTGATTGTTCTAACGCGTTCTTCTTGCACCATTGCCGAATACACCCTGTTCAACGAGGGCAAAGGATCGCAAGCCAACAGGTTGGAGCGGACAGTACCATACGTGGCATCATCTAAGCCCATGAGAAACTGATGCACCTTCTCTTCTTCTCTGCGCCTTTCTAACTTAGACGCAACATCACAAGTGCAGCCTCTACATCCGCATCTGGGTATTTGCTCATGGTTTGCCAATTCATCCCACAGTGCCTTCAATCTACCATAGTATGCAACTACTGTCGATCCTCCTTGCTTGCCATCAGCCAACTCTGACTTCAGCTGGTGTATCCGCGGTCAATTGGTGATGGAGAACCTTTCTCTAATGTCTTCCCATAGATCTCGTGCATTCTCCATATAAGAGATTGTGGAGCGCAAATTGGGCTCTATGGTGTTCAAAATCCATGACACCAACGTGGACTGGACTGTCCACCAATCCTCCATTTCTATTGTTCCTTCCTTTGGCTGTTTGATAGCACCATCAATAAATCCCCACTTGCGTCTAGCACGTAGGGAGGCCCGCATGGCTCGAGCCCACTCATCGTAGTTCTCACCACGAAGTTGCACTTGGGTGATAATATTCCCAGGGCCGTCATTTGAATTGAGGTCATATGTGGAGCGAAGAGGTTTCCCTTGCTCCTTAGTTTCCTCTCGTATTTCTGCCATAATGTGTTTATTTTTCTGCGTACCAGATATTTGGCTCTGATACCATAATAAGCTTGGCAGCCGCAGGAATAATCCCTGCCTCTTGAAAGAGTTTGCATACATATATATACGCATAAGAGTAACCTAATTACAGCAAAATTACAGCGTAATTACAGTAGCAAGAATCTCTAACAGATTTCCTAAAATTGGCTCCTACTTAAATGACTAGATAGCCTGTGATTGAGTTGAACAAATCAGCGCATAATCTGCTATGCTAAATGTAACGTGATCAAATCAGTTAGGATCTCATATGTTTGCAACATATCTCATTATCTTGGCTTATTAAAACCTGCCAACAGCTGTTAGCATTCATGGTTTGATAAATTGTGATCTTGAGCAGAGTTGGAAGAGACCAACGTGAATTTGAGATAAATTTTGTGATTTATGAAACAACTGAGAGGGCTGTAACTCTCTGCGGGAAGGAAAGCAAGGACAGCAGATTTTTACACTATCAAAAACTAGTTTACTGACAGAAGCCCGTAGAAAAGCTCCAAAAGTGAAGATGAAATTTACGCCAAGTTCAATCGATCAACCATTTGAAATAACTAGCCACAATTGTAATCTTAAAACAAGAAGCAAGCTACAGTAAGTTTAGGAATTTTTTTACAACACAAAGGTGACAACTTTTTTTTTTTTTTTTTTTTTTCTCTCTCGAAGTTTTGTCAAAGGATTTTTGAGATCTGTGTTTGAAAAAGATACGCAGTTAGTGAGAGGTAGAAATAATTACATTAGGTATCAATTACTTTTGATGCCCAAATCATGAAACTTACTAGAATAAATTTAAGGAAAACAATAAATAAAGGTTTAATTACTCATTTAGCTTATCTAGTCCATATACAAACATTTTCAATTTACTTTTGGTTGTTAAAAAAAAGTTAACAAATGACGTGGTACTAACATATGTTGCACTTTAATTTTAGTCTTTATTACACTATTTTTATATTTTGATCCTTATATTGTACAATATTTATCTTTTAATCTTACACTTAAAAATTACTCATTTAGTATTTTTAGGAGCAATTTTTTATTTTATGTTTTATGGTTGGGTCTTTATTAACATTCTCTTCTTTCTTCTTCCTCCTTCTTATCATCTCTCTTCTCTATTTTCTTCTTTTTTCTCATCAACACTTTTTTTCCCCTTCTTTCTGGGATTTGATTCTTTTATATTATTTTACATAAACTAATTTTGTTTGACTTTAAATTGAGAAATCTTGGTGCATTTCTTGATTAAAACGAGGTGGCCTACAAGTAACAATTTATATTGTCATTCCTTGTTGCGATAAAAGTTCGTTACATCATTTTAATGATATTGTATTGTTTAGAAACATAGAATGTTGCGGTTAATTCATTTTTTATATCACATAATGTTTCTGCCAAAAATTGCCAAGTAACACATCTTCATTTTCAAATTTATAGCATTTTAACATTTTTTGTGTGTTAGTGCCGGAGAACTTAGATATAACAAAGTTACATGTCAATTGATGAAGAAGATTATAATATAAAAAAGTAAATGAGTAACCAAAACGAATGAAATTTAAGTGTAGAGATTCAAAAGTAAGATTTGTACTTCTATATGAACTTAAATGAGTAATTGAACTCATAAATAAAATGTCACCCCACAAAAATAAATTGCTGTAGAAGTCAGGTCACAGCCTAGCTACTCTAACTACTAGAATATATATTTTTTTGCTTCGTCGGGGACAACAAACTGAGAACCGGGCAACGTGATTTCACAATTTTTTTAACTGTTCGTGTTAATACAACAGATGTAGCGTGTGTTTGTTCAGATTCTTAACGTGATTTATCACGTTTACATGGAAGCTATCAGCTATAACGTGTGTGTTTGGTTTCAATTTTGAAACTCAATTTCTTTGTCTCTCTCCACGTCCAAGTAGCAATTTAAGGAAAAACTATTATTTTCTCCTTCCAGTCAAACGTGAAAAATCACGTTTTGACGCATCACGTTTTGACGCTGTTCCAAACACACAGAACTTTTACGTTTTAAACGTGATTTTTGCTTTGAATCACGTTTTGGGCGACACATGTAGATTTACGAAAGGAAATGTTTTTTTTTTATTGTGAACATTTTGCACACTTCAACATGTGCAATTGCAAAATTTTTCATTTAGTTTATTACTTTACCTCTAAACTTAAATCTGTATACACAGATTTAATGCATTACACAGGTTTGCCAAGTTCAGGATTTTTTCCTCAGTAACTGTAGATATACCTGACCTTTCATTGTTTCATAACAGTCATTTGAAACCCGTTTGTTCTTGTAGAAGTGCTATATGCACGTATTGTTGATTCTGCTAGAAGCAGCACTCATTATATGTTTCTAAACTTTAGTGTTTATGATGGGGACATAAAATGCTCGTCTTGGAACTTGGTAAGAGTCTTCAGCAGGTTGTGTCCTCAAAATAAGGCACAGTACTACTCTCCAGTCTCACGGTACTATTACCTCCACGCAATGAAACCATTGCTGCTATACCCTGTGCCTTTTCCTTTAGGCAACTGTCTCAATTATTTGTTCTTTATCAGTTTCTACCTTTATTTGCTAAGAGGTACAAAAGAAAAGAAAACTAAGCAGACCCTCTTTTTATCTTTTCTTAATAACTAATGAGCAAAACTTTAGAAAGCATGATCAAATGGTTAAGCATAAACAATTGAGAAAATCTGAACTTTTGTCATAGAATCACTTATCGGATGAAAAGTTGTGCAGAAAAAAAAGTTATTCATCCAATAATTAGTGACTGTTGATCAACTATAATAAAACCTCCTATCTCAAAGTTAAACAAGTCTTTTAACTAAGATTTAAATGATCTATTCTTGTTATATATATTTTACACATTACACACACAACTTGATTTTATTATACTCATGAATCTATATACAAAAATCTGTGTGGGAAGCTCTTGTTTTATCTTGGGTTTCTGTCCAAAATTTTGAACTTATATTTAATATCCCTGGCGTGTACGAAGGTCACAGGCACAGGCAGTGGACCACGCTATTCATATATTTTATTTGTAGGAAGCAAAATCCAAAGCCTGAATACCCTATTCATGTATTTTATTTGGTCACGCCAACACTGACCCAGTTTTCACCATAAACAGTTCTCATGAGCTAGATTTGGTACCTGAGGCTAGGCCTATCAACAAGGTAGGTAGTTCATGCATGCATTTGCATGATTAAGTTCAGCTTCACAATTGAAACATTGCACAAGTATATATGTAGCTAAATAAATACATGACCACTCTTTGATGTGTAATAGTTTCAGATGCAGAAATTGACACTTGACTATACAAGCCACAAAGCTGTGTCCAATCACTTTCAAATTTTACTATTTATGATGAGTATGTATATAAAGAAATTCACTTGAAAGTGATTTATGCTCTGTCAAGTCTTTTTATTTGTTTAATTTTTTAGCGTTCTTTGTAGACTTATAAATCGATGTCGCCATGCCATATCATTTTTCGTCCAAATTATGGGGACAAAATTGTTCCCTCAAACATGCGACAAAAATAGGTTCTGTGCCTTCTAGGATTTATGGACAAACAAAGTCTGCAACGTTAATTATGATATTTTAATATTTGATATTTTTGTTAAATTCAAATGGTTTTACTTTTTTGTACAAATTTTTAATTTTCTGACTCTCAAAACACAAATGGAAAAAATAATTAAAATAAAGTGAGTGCACATGCTCCCTCCCTCCATGTTTTTCTTTGAATTTATAGGTAATTTCTTTGCTATTTCTCTTACACCGTATTTGGTTTGACAGAAATATATTTTAAATAGAACTAAGAGCGAAGAAATATGTGTGTGATAAAATAAGTTACCCGGTCTCATATGGACGAAACTTATCAGCTATGAAATAAAAAGGATAAAAGGGTATCTGACTCATGCTTTTTTATTTCTTTACAAATTAGTGTTAGAATTAATAATACATGTTCAAAATTTAATTGTATTTAAATAAAACGTATTCAAATTTGAATAAAATCACTGATCACATGATTTATTTATTTATTTAAATAAATATTTTTTTTATTCAAATACCTTTCTTTCTATAATTTTTTTGAATAACGCGAACTTTTCATTGGAATATTATTAAACAGAATTTTGTTTATTGGAATGAAAGTTTAGAATTTTATATATTTATTTCAAAATTTAATTTATTTTTTAATTTAAATATATCATTTTAATTAATTTTAATCTAAAGTATTATTTAAGATTATTTACTTACTTTTAATTAATTATTTATTTTATTTTAAAATTTTATTTATTTAGTTATATAATTTTTTATTTAAATGATTAAAATAAGAAATAGTTAATAAAAAATTATTATGTTAGCTTTGCTCTGATTTTCTTAAAAAAGAAACACATTTTAAGCAATTAGCTATAAGCTGATTCACATGTGAGACAACAACAAAAATTGACTTGTAATAATAGAAAGAAAAAAAAATCATGAAAAGTTAAAAATTTGTAAATATATATTGGCTAGCAAAGGATTTATCGTTCATTATGTAAATCATATAATAACGTTTTTTTTTTAACTTTTATTTATAATAAATAATTATAAATACAAATGCTAGATTAGTTAACTAAATATTTATATTAGGTATAAGTAGTTTTAAATTTTATTTTCCCTTTGTCCCTTATTTTCCCTTTCAACCTATAGCTATTATGTTTATAAAAACAAAATATTTGTATGTAAAAGTCATTTTCTTTAGAGTGACATGTTAACGTACCATTTATTTGGTAGAATTTATTAAAAGCTAAAGATAATAATAAAATCATTTCGACAAGTACTTTGTCGTCTTTGAGTTATTGTTTGAATGTATTTTGAGAATTTAATTAGGAGCACGATGACCAAGCTAGAATTACTCCATAAATGATAGCTACACAACAAAATTGTTGTTAATACGTAGCATTCAGTACAAATGAATGTTAGCTTTTAGTGTTAAGGTGAGTGGTGTATTTCAACTTGTAGTTTAATTACCTCTTCGTAAAAATACCTCTTATATAAGTTATATATATATATATATATATATACATAGGGAGCGAGTGAGAAGTTTTTATTGTGAGAAGGTGGAAATATAACCCTTAGATTAATCAAGTAAGAGAAAATTTGGCATTTAATCAAGTGAGAGAAAATTAATCTAAGGGTTATATTTCCACCTTCTCACAATAAAAACTTCTCACTCGCTCCCTATGTATATATATATATATATATATATAACTTATATAAGAGGTTTATTTATTTATTTATTTATTCATGGAAGAAAAGAAAAGTGCAAACAGTAAAGAGCGTGCATGAGCATGAGTAGGAGAAAGCGGGTTTACAACTGCACTGAAGGGTTGAAAACAGGGCGTGGGTTGTTGAACTAAAGAAAACAAAATCTCTGGTTTCTGGCATGCATTCACCACCCATGGCCACCATCAAAGAAGACACCTACTTCACCTCCGACCTCAAAGCCTCGGAGAAGAAGGCCCTGCAAGACCTCAAGGACAAGCTCCGCGCGGCCGCCCCATCGCCCCCTCCCATGTGGGACATCCACTTACTCAGCGGCCACGACAGGGCCGACGTCCTCCTCCTCAAGTTCCTCCGCGCGCGCGACTTCCGCCCGGACGACGCCCTCGCCATGCTCCTCAGCTGCCTGGCCTGGCGAGCCCAGTTCGGCGCGGAGGAGGCTGCGGCGGAGGCGAAGGCGGAGATGGAGGAGGTGGAGGGCGTGGTGGCGTACACGCGGGGGTGGGACAGAGAGGGGAGGCCCGTGTGCTACAACGCGTACGGGGTGTTCAAGGAGAGGGAGATGTACGAGAGGGTCTTGGGGGACGAGGAGAAGCTCAAGAGGTTTCTCCGCTGGAGGGTTGGGGTTCTTGAGAGAGGCATCAAGATGCTGCATTTTAAGCCTGGTGGTGTTAACTCTCTCCTTCAGGTTACGGATCTTAAGGACATGCCCAAGAGAGAACTTAGGCTCCTTTCTAACCACATTTTGTCCTTGTTCCAGGATAACTATCCCGAAATGGTCGCTCGTAAGGTAAGCTACCATGTCTGAGTCAGATACTAATGTAGTATCACTCTTGGTGCCATACTTTGAATATCAAAAAAACCAGATTCTCTGTTAAGTTAGATCATGCAAGTAACACATGTGAGCAAAGGGTATAGAGTGTGTCTTACTACGTTAATCTATCGCCGGTTTGGTGCATGGGATGTTTGGACGAATTTGTTCATGAGAAAATAAGAAATTAAAATCAGTTTAATCTTTTTGTTAGACATACTACATGTCTAAGATTTATTCTTTATAAATTAAAAATTGTAAGTTTTCGTTTTTGCTTAACGTTTCTTTAGCAATTTATCATGCTATAAATAAATGCAAATTTTTGTAATGCTTTTATACCGTGTAAAAGTATTGCTGTGGTGGGTTAATTGATGTCAAATTGTTTTAGTTTTGTTGGTGATTTTGAGCTCAATTACAGGTTTATTATTACATTGAATTCTTGTTATTAAATTAGCGGCGTTTGTTGTTTGCTTATTATGATTGTCATGTCAGCTGCGCCTTAATTCTGGAGTGATAAGAATTTCATTGATTTCTTTTCTTGTTTTCAGATTTTCATCAATGTGCCATGGTACTTCAGCGTGTTGTATTCAATGTTTAGTCCGTTTCTTACCCAAAGAACTAAGAGCAAGTTTGTGATCTCTAAGGAAGGAAATGCTGCAGAGACACTCTACAAGTTAGTCTAATTAATGAATCGTTATTATGAGCATTACTTTAGAAGATTTTGGTTTGGGAATGAGTTTAATTTTTAACTTTTTATCTACTCAAATATTTCAAAATTGCTCCCAGCTTCCTTATCCACCTTGTGATTTTGTCTTGAATATATTTTATTATTATTTTTAAAAAAATTTAAATTGAAGTTATCTATTCTTGACTTTTGTGTTACATTGCACATGTATCAAACAAATTTTTCTTACCCAATACCCTACAATATCTCTTTTCGACTTTGTATTTTTAGATTGGGTTATTGTCTTTTGTTCAGATTTATAAGGCCCGAGAATATTCCTGTTCGGTATGGTGGATTGAGTCGACCCAGCGATTTGGAGAATGGTCCCCCAAAACCTGCTTCTGAGTTCACAGTTAAAGGGGGAGAGAAAGTGAACATACAAATAGAAGGAATTGAGGTAACAATTTTCTAATTTTCCTCCCTTTTATTTACCCTTATGAAGCTTATAATGGTTTCTTCTTGGATTTTGAATTTTAGAGTCAGAGCATTGAATTTAATTAAAATGCTGGGATAGAACAAAGATTTTTTTAATGCTATTATCCGATCATAAATTGTCATCTACAGTGAAATTGTTAATTTTTTTAATAACTAATTTAAAAATTATATTTAGACTGATTTTTTTTAATTGAGTGACTAAATGTGTATTTGAATTGTCCTGAGAGACATAAACTGTATGCACTTTCCAAAGCACGAAATAGAGAAGCAATAATATTGAAAAATTGATGAATTATAAAAAATGTGGGTTACATTCAACATAAATGTAACCCAAAACACACCATAATTTAAACTTTAAACCACTAAGTAATAGGGTCAGGTTTAATTCAATTGGTTGAGTAAGTGTGGTAGATATTGTAAACTCTCTCAGGTATACCAGAAATTGGTGTTTTGATGAGATATGTTAATTGCTTGTTATTTGGTGATAGAGTGGTGCAACAATCACATGGGACATTGTGGTAGGAGGCTGGGACTTGGAATACAGTGCTGAGTTTATCCCAATTGCACAAGGTAGCTACACCTTAGCAGTTGATAAGGCAAGAAAGATTGAGGCCTCAGAAGAAGCTATCCATAACTCTTTCACATCAAAAGAACCTGGCAAAATGGTACTCTCTGTTGATAACTCTACTTCAAGGAAGAAAAAAGTTGCTGCATATCGCTATGTTGTGCACAAATGCACCACACCATCTGAGGTGCAATTAAGCCCCAAATAACTGTAGCAACTGTATCAAAGTTAATTATAAGTATTGTATTAGTATAATAACAAAAATGAGAAGAACCGTGCTAGTGCATGATGAATTGGTACATAAGAAAAAGCAAGTGGCTTTGCTTTGCTTATACCATTTTACTATTTTGGCGCAATGGTGATGACTTTTGTCAAAGGGTGTTGACATTTAGTAGCATTCATGTGTAGGAATAGGAAAATGGCTTAGTTTTGTTTCTGAAGAGAAGTGAATTGAGTGGGGATAGAGTTTACCTGCTTTGGAGGGATTTTATTTGATGTGAAGTATGGTCCATGCAAGATGAACGGTGGTGATGAAAGGCCAATTAAGAGTTCACGGGCATGGGAAGTTGAAATTGAATGGTGGAGCATCTTTCCTTGTCTAATGCATATTGATGTTGATGTCTGCATTCTGCTATGTTTTGATGAATGAATGTTCATCCTTTTTTTTGTTTCCCGGAGTGACCAAAATTGAAATAGTACAGGTTTTATTTTCTTTGCTTTCAAGAGGATAATCATAATATTAGTGCAAAATATGTAGTTGGTGGCTGCTGAATATACAATCAAAGAAACTCTAGAGACGTGTAGTGTGTTGTCTTCAGAACTTATAAGATATAATTAAGTAGGAGTATAATTCTTAATGGAAAAAAAAAATCAGATAAGGAGACACCCTCTTAATTTAAAAAATTAATTATAAATATATGAATTTTTATTAAACTTATGTATTTAAATTTATAATTTTCAATTTTCAATTTATCACAAATAAATCTTTTAAATTTTTATATTTTTGTCATTCTTAACTTAATATATTTAAAATTAGTTACATTTAATATGTCCACTATCTATAGGTCGTGATTCCCCAGCTACTGAGTGTGAATATAATGTAATTATTATTTTCAATTAAAAGAACTAGTCATGGCCCTGTACTATTTTACAAAGTGAAAAATCACGGGAAGATTTGTTCATTAGATTATTTTGCTGTGCGTTGCGTGTTTTAAGGGCTATGATATTCAATTTTCCAACTTATAGTAAGAAAAAAGAAAAATTCTGTCTAAACTGAGATGAATTACTGTATTTCACTGAATATTTCTATTTTAAGAAACAGTAGCAGCAGTTCCTTCTTTCAGATTGATGCATGTGACCCAGCTTTTGCATTCACTTTTCAGTCCATATGCTGACTCTACTTTAATATAATAAACTACTTTAAATCAAAATTTATGTTTTTCTTTTTAATGTAAATTTGGAGAAGAAAGGAGAGGAGTAAAAGATAAGAAGGGATGAATAGAAAACCTATATAAAAAAATAAACTTTTAAGTTGTTTAGTGTGTGATAAATAAGAAAAAAAATGTGAATATGTATTATAAAAATATATTTACTCCTAATAACATATCTATATAATTAAAAAAAATAAATGTCATTTATTTCTTTTAAGAAAAAATTATATTGACCTCCTTGAAATCTTTTTAAATGATATATACTTGTCTAATTTTTAAGCAAGCAATAACTCTATTTATTTATTTATTTATTTAAATCACACATATAATCTTTTATATAAGATAATATCATCTGTGCACTATTTGTGCACTATTTAAAGAGAATAAATTCTTAAAACAAGTATCAACAATTAATTGAGACTTAATCTCTTATTCAATTTTAACTCCTAAATTATATCTTAAATATCATATATATTATGATTAAAAAAATATATCAACTTAAAATAATTTTAAACAAAGAGCTAAGAAATTATTATTCTTAAAATTATAGAACAATAAAAATTTTAATAAATAAAATATAGTATTATATGTAATTTAGAAGAGAAGGATAATTACCAATAAAAAATAAAAAATGATAGATGCATATATAATTGACAGAATATAAATTATTTTTTTTTCTCTTTTTCTCATTTTAACTAAAAAAGAGATATGTAGTTTAATTTTCTCATTTTTTAATTAATTTCTTATTTTTTTTCTCCTAGTAAAATCTCGATGCATAAGAAATTGTGTATGTGAGTCCTACTAAAACAAAATTTTCTTACTTTTATTTTTCTCTTTCATACAATCAAATTTTTTAACTGAATTATTGTATTTAACTGAATATTTCTATTTTAAGAAACAGTAGAAGCAGTTCCTTCTTTCAGATTTATGCATGTGATCCTGCTTTTGTATTCACTTTTCAGTCCATATACTGATTTTACTTTAATATAATAAATTACTTTAAATGAAAATTTGTTTTTTTTTTCAATGTAAATTTGGGACTTTTTTTTAAATATATTTTTTTTATTTTTTATTTTAATAATCTGGGCTAGTTTTTATTTACTCAAATAACTCGTTTTTAGGCCCAGGTGAAAATCGGTTACTGGGTAACCAATTTCTTAATAAGATTTAATTTTTTTTTAGAAATTTCATTAGTAACCGATTTCTCACTTAGATTTTTTTTCGTTTCTTATTTTTTGATTTTTAGATTTTTTAAAAAAATTTATTATTTTTCATTTTTTTTAAAATTATATTTAATTTTAATTTATTAATACAAAATTAATATATTTATTATTAAAATTTTATTCAATTTTTTATATTTAACAAATTTAATTTAAATAATAAATCAAATTTAAAAATTTAAATATAAGTATAATATTCAATTTTGAAATTTAAAATAAAATTTAAAAATAAGTATAATATTAATTTCAGTTTCAAAATATTATTCTTTAAAAATTATTTAATTTAAATATTAAACATATTTTTCATATTCAAAAAATTAAAATAATTTTTTTATTTTTTAAATTCAGAAAACAAAAAACGAAAAAAAAAACCCAGTGAGAAATCAGTAACAGATTTCTCACTTAGGCCTAAAAATAGGTCATTTAAGTAAATAAAAATTAGTTCAAATTACTAAACTAATATATATATATATATATATATATATTAAAAAAAATCGTAAATTTGGAGAATAAAGGAGAGGAGTAAAAGATAAGAAGGAATGAACAGAAAACTTAAAATAAAAAAAAATAAACTTTTAACTTGTGTTTGTGTGTGATAAATAAATAAAAAATGTGAATATATATTATAAAAATATATTTACTCCTAATAACATATTTATATAATTAAAAAAATGTTGTTTATTTTTTCAGGAAAAATAACATTGATTTTCCTAAGATCTTTTTAAATGATATACACTTCAGGCTAATTTTTAAATAAATACTAATTTTTATAATTTATTTATTTAAATGACACATACAATTTTTTATATAAAATAATATATTATTTGTATATTATTAAGAGAATAAAATTTTAATACAAGTATTAATAATTAAATGAGACTTGATCTCTTATTCGATTTTAATTTTCAAATTATATTATTAATATTATGTGTGTTGTGATTTAAAAAATATATCAACTTAAAAAAATAATTTTAAAGGACGAACTGAGAAATTATTATTTTCAAAATTAAATAACAATAATTTTTTATATAAATAAGACAGAGTATTATATGTAATTTTTAAAAAATGATAAATATATATAATTGATAGAATATAAATTGTTTTTTTTATATTATTTCTCTTTCTCTCACTTTAACTATTGATCTTATTTTAAGGAAGGTGAATAATTTTTAAAAATTAAAGAAGAGATATGTGTCATTTAAATAGATCTCAAAAGAGTGAGTTCAATTTTCCCATTTTTTAATGAACATCTTACTTTTTTTTCCTAGTAAAATCTATACGCATAAGAAGAAATTTTGTGTATGAATCCTAAAAAAAAGTAAATTTTCTTATTTTTTTTTCAAACAATCAAAATTTTTATTTTCATATACTTTTTTGAAACTCATCCAAAATCATCCCAACCAAAAAATACAATTTTTTTTTATCACCAAACAACATATTAAATCTTAATAAAATATTCTTGGATATATGTTATATCGTAATTATATAAATTAATATTATTCTAATAGAAAGATTGATTTGCATGTATGAGGTTTTAAATTTCAATATTAATATGGTAAATATAAAAAAATTAAATAATATACTATTTAGGAGTCACTTGGGACCGTAAAGTGATGAAAGGAGTAATTATAATTATACATTATTTTTTTTTTATTATATCACTTATCATGTTATTTTGTTTCTACTTATATATAGGCTTTATCAGCACTCTGATTAAATGTAAGCATCTGTTCCCAATATTTTGAAAACAAAAATGAGGAAACTATAAACTATGATATATTGTTCGGTTTCCCAAGCATGTGTCAAGGAAGAGAAGAAAAGAGAAAAGTACTTAGGAAACGTGTAAAAGAGTTAGCCTAGTGACCGTAGAATGAAACACGCAGCCTGAAGCGAAGTGAACGTGTCTTGCATGCAAATTGGCCATATATGTCATTCACCTCCTACATGTTCGGCTACTTAGAAAGGGTCTCTTGTATAATAATGTCACAAGAAACCAACACCATTTTTTAGCAAACATTGAAAGATGGCACAAATTGTTAAGCCACATGAACCTAAGACACAGTCATTTACCCTTTTGAGTGGTCATACCGTACCTGCTGTTGGATTAGGCACATGGAAATCTGGTTCACAAGCCACCAATTCTGTCTTCACTGCCATTGTTGAGGTAATTGCACTGCATGCTTGTCCCTCATTCCAATTGCTTCACTTTTAAGTTTTGTTTGTTTGTTTGTGGAACATTAATGGGTTCGTTTTTGGATGGTGTGAACTGTGATCATGATTCGTTGATGAATGGATAAAGCTTTTGGATTAAATGAGAATCTATTGATGATGTTATTTCAATTTAGAAAGGTTATTTAATTATCTTATGAATGTATTCATTAAGGTGGTGTTGTGTGTTGATATCTATGGATAATGTAAGGGGGAAAAATAATCTATATTTATTTATTATCTATGGATCATGTTGGTATCTATCTTGTATCAGCATTAACAACACTAGATATTTATGTGGAACAGATCAGCGTTAGTGCTGTAAATTTCAAAAACAAAATTTCATAGAATAAATTTCTCCAGACTAAATACTATTTATTTTTTACGATTAAAAACAGTCATTTTAATCTTTACACTTTTAAAATTTTACTTGAAATGTTTTAAATCACTTCTCTTCCTCTCCAAATCCATCTAACATTAGAGGAAAGCTATGAAGCAATATTTCAAATATCAATTTATGTCACGTATCTATATTCGATATAATATCTTTGAATGCTTCAAAGAAACTCTTAGATAAAGATACTTTTAAGATATATTTATTGGTGATACGTATCGATAAAATATTCAAATTTAAAAAAAAAAATATAAAATATCCATTACATCTAAATAAGATATATAAGCATGATTAATATAGAAACATAGAAATATTAGTCCTTGATAAACTATAAATGAAAATTCTTCTATATAGATAATTTTAAGTAAGAAATAAAATTGATAATATTATTTTTATTTTTAAATAATAAAAAGTCATTTATGATTAAATGATTTATAATTTATTTATTTTTAGTAATGTAAGCAATTATATATTTAATATTTATGAATTTTGATCAAAATTAGTATAAATATTGATACATATAATAATACGTATCTTACATGTATTGTATCTTATATATTTTAAAATAATTATAATGATTATGAATTTTGATCAAAATTATAAGTACACGTTTATTATATCGTATGAATATTGATATATATAATGACACGTATCTTACATATATTGTATCCTATATATTTTAAAATAATTAAAATAATTATATCTCCGTATCGGATACATTTACACCTATCATATCGGTGCATCTTAGGATGAAAGTGAAATGAGGTAGAATTTTGTTCGCTTCTCCACCTAAATTGAATAAATTTATCCCAACTATGTACTATTTATTAGGATTAAAAACAATCATTGTTATATTTGTATTGTTCTGTTTGTATCATTGTATAAAAACATGTTTAACCAAAATAACAAAGAAAGCAGCAAAAGGAAGTTAGTTTTTGCCATTCTTGTGGAACCGGGTCTCACACTCACATGATCTGACCTTTGAGGTGCAGGCTGGTTACAGACACATAGACACGGCTTCACAGTATGGAGTTCAAGAAGAAGTATGATTGTGTTTCCTTTTAGTTTGCGTTGATTTAAACCACCCTTTTTCCCATTCTTACTTACTTGTGCTAAATACATATCTTCTTATAGGTTGGACATGCACTCCAAGCTGCCATGCAAGCAGGAGTGGAAAGGAAGGATCTATTTGTCACCTCCAAGATATGGTAATCTAACCGAATGTTGTTTCAACATTTGAAAGAAAGCTCATGATAGTTTGTGTATGTGTGTGTGAAATTTTATACCAACTAGGTGCACTGACTTGACCCCTGAAAGGGTTAGACCTGCTATCAACAATACCCTTCAAGAGCTCCAACTTGACTACATTGATCTTTACTTGGTAATGAGATTCTATTATATTTAGAATCCATTTCTCTTTATTGTACCTGTTTTTTTTCGTCCATGCACGTGGTTTGACATGTGTAATACCAGACAGAGAAGCTCTAATGTATAAAATGCAGATTCATTGGCCATTTCGATTGAAAGATGGTGCCAGCAGACCCCCCAAAGCAGGAGAAGTGTTGGATTTTGACATGGAAGGAGTGTGGAGAGAAATGGAGAAGCTTGTCAAGGAAAACCTTGTCAGAGACATTGGAATCTGTAATTTCACTCTTACAAAGCTTGATAAGCTGATGAACCTAGCTCAAATAATGCCTTCTGTCTGCCAGGTGAAACTATATATCTAGAAATACTTTGTGTTACTTTAATTTCTGTTATCTTAGAAGGAACAATCCCAAAGGTTGAGTATTGGATAATGGAACACCAGTACCACTTGATTCTCATCAATTTGTCTATTTTCTATTTTGTTGCAGATGGAAATGCATCCTGGATGGAGAAATGATAAGATGCTTGAGGCTTGCAAGAAGAATGCCATCCATGTTACTGTAATAATTAACACGAGAAATGCTAGCACACTTATTCTAACACTCTATTCCTAATATTCTCCTTACTATTAGTTGAAATTTATAAAATTTTGATGGGTCTTATTACTAAATTTAGAAAGAGATTAGTTGAGACTCACAAAATTTGTAAAATTTCAATCAATAATAAAAAATAATGTTAGTAAATGAGTGTTAGATATTAACACATTGTTAGTTTAATTTTCTTCATTTTGGTTTTTATTGCTATGATAGAGGGTCATGATTAGAATGCAAAAATTGGTCAATAGGCTTACTCTCCACTGGGGTCATCAGCTGGTAGGGATCTGATCAATGATCAAATGGTTGATAGGATAGCCAACAAGCTGCACAAGAACCCAGGGCAGGTGTTGGTGAAGTGGGCAATCCAGAGAGGGACAAGTGTCATCCCCAAATCAACCAAGCCAGATAGGATCATGGAGAATGTCAGTGTTTTCAATTGGGAACTTCCAGAAAGAGACTTCAAAGCCCTTAGCAACATGTCCAATCAGGTAAGCACAGAAATGCGTTATTTCTCATCATTGGGTTGGGACAAGTTAGTCTAGTAGCATAATACTAAACAGAATATTCTGTCATTGTTAATTTGTTATCCACTATTAGATATGAATGGTCCCTTCCACTTGACATTATTCAAAATTTGTAATGCATCTTGTTGATTCCTTTTAATTTAATTGAAAAAAGTTTACCAGGGATCATGTATGCTGAAAACAATTACTTGTGATCCATGAATTTGAATTTGCATAGGAAAAATTGCCTTTGTATCCCTTAAACTGTCATAAGATAAGGATTAAAATCTTGGAAGTGAGTATATGCATCAATTAAAGTACTTTGTGATATTAATATCAACCAACTTCAAATAAATTATACATGACATTTCTTTTTTTATTTTACACATTTACTTATTTTATCCTAAAGTCCTAAATATCACGTGTTCTTTTGGGTTCCTGAACTCATCATAACTGTGTGAATCTTTCCTTGGTTGCTGATGCATTGCAGAGGAGAGTTCTGGATGGTGAAGATCTCTTTGTGAACAAGAGCGATGGGCCATTGAGGAGTGCAGCAGATATTTGGGACCATGAAGATTAGTCCACACTTACACCTAGCTAGCCACTTTGCTTATCTCCTTTCTCAAGGCACTGTGTGGCATTAGATTTAATGTACTAGTTGTTCTTATAAAGGATTCAGGTTGTTGACAAAGGTATGAGGTGCATGCACTCTATGCAGATTTCTTATCCATAAAACGCTATAATTACTTCACTAATAGTTTACTTAAGATTAGCTTCAACTATGATTCTGATCTTACAAATAAAGTTGGAAGTGGTGAGTGGTTTGGGAAACTTGAGTTGAGAATTATCTGATGCCCCATGAAAACTGTATGCTTGTTGTGTGTGAATTGTGATCTATTGGGAAAATTTTGGCCTTTATTGAAATCACGAGTAAGTTGGAGATTAGTAGCCCAAGAAATTTTCCATTGTTTTGTATTTATTTTTTTTAACCTTTTTAACGAAATCCATGGGATTTTACAGTGCCACATTGGTATTATAGAATGGTCCTAGAATGTATTTTGTCTTATCTCATAGGTGTAGAAAACGTGTTTCTTTATTCATTTTATCATATATAATTTGTGTTCAGTACAGGATGATGCTAACTTATATTAACAACGTAACTTGCTTTTCCGGAATGTTCTGTCATGATCCACTGGATGGTTTTGACTTTTGAGTCCAAAATCATTATGTAGTGGACTAAATTTACAAGCAAAAGCTAAATTTCTAATACTTTCATGAAACCACCCCCAACTAACCAGGATTGGCACTAGTGCGCTAAACTGTTTAGCATAAAAATATTATAAATTTAAACACTAGGAACATTGCCGTCTAATTATTAAAAAAGGGCATTAGACACTTCCAGGGCAAGCAATGAAACCAATGTGTCTCATTTGCATATACATACGAAAAATGGGGCACTTGTCCAATTTTCCTAGTGGTAGAATAGTAATAATTACAGAGAACGGTTTGAAGTTCTGATTCTGGAAAGTGCTAAATTATATGTAAGAGAGGAATATTTTAAGGTAGCGTTTGCTCGAAATGATCAAAAGACAGTCATTTTGGGTGGGCATGCCATACAAAAAGTATTAACATACCTCATTTTACAAAATAAATAAATAAAAATAAATGAGGTCCCTACACGATTGTCTTG